TTTTGAAGACCTCTTAGGAATCTTTTCAGAGTAGAGTGTGAAAAAAGTTTTGTTGATTTCGAATGAGAAGGTTGATGAGCTACGATGACCAATATATAAACTTTTATGGTTGAATATGATAGTCCCAAATTGAAGAGATGGAGAATGAAGATGAGTATTGTTTTAAGGGAAACTGGCATTGCAGTTAAGTAATTTAATTCAGTAAATTTTATGAAAGATTTCCATTTATTTCCGTAGAGCTTTTGTGTGGATGGCTTTCGTGCCTGATCTAAGATGTTTTTGAAGGTGGGAATATCCTCCACGCTGTCAGATTCAGGGATCGAATGTCGGGATGAAGGACTGGTCCATTGTTCTGAGATAACAGGTTCGGTATCTATGGTAGGTGAAATATGTCTGTCGCCATCAATCTTATGTGTGGGAACCATGGCTGTCGTGGCCACCATGGAGCTATGATTATGGTATTTGCTTGACATTGTCTGATCTGGATAACTGTTTTCTGAATCAGAGGAATTGGGGGGAACATGTATTACAGTTCTCCCTTCCAGTCTATCCTGAAGGCATCTCCCAGTGACTTGGGGTTGATGCTGGCTCAAGAGCAGTATCTTCGACACTTGGTGTTTTGATTTGTTGCAAATAGGCCTATGGATGGGTGTCCCCATCGACAGCAAATGTCCTAGAAAATTTCATTGTCTAAAGTCGATTCATATATCTGAGTAGGGAGTCAACTTAAGTGATCTGCTAAATAATTTTCTTCTGTAGAGATGTGAATGGATACTGGGAAAATGTGATGGTGGTAATTCTATTCCCAGAGCTCTATGGTAAGGTATAGCAGTGAGAGGGAATGTGTGCCTCCTTGTTAATTTACGTAGTACAGTACATCGCTGTGGTGTTGTCCATGGCTAGCTGTACTGCTTGTCCCTTGATGTGTGATAAGAATGCTCGGAAAGCTTTTATTATTGCTAGTCATTCGAGATGATTTATATGTAGTGATCTTTCTCTCCTTGTCCATAGGCCATGTATTTCGTTGGTTGTGACCTGTATCGACAACTGCAGGGGCTTGAAAGATCTGCCTATTGCTAGGTGTGGAAGGAATGTCCACCAGGTAAGTTGATTTGCAAGTTCTGGTGTTACAATGAGGCATTTCAATTGTTGATCTGTCATGGGGTAGAATAGTGTAAGAAACCATGCTTGCAACGACCTCATCTTGAACCTTGCATGTTGCACAATGGTCATGGTAGATGCCATGAGCCCCAGTAGATGTTGGGCTCTGTGTGCTGATATCAATGTCATAGGTTGAAATAAGTTGATGGCTTGGTTTAGTTTGATGATCCATTTTGGAGATAAGTATGCTCTTGCCTTAGGGAATCTGGGCAGGCTCTGATGTAGTTGATCGTCTGTGATGGTTCGAGGTAAGATTTGGTGTAATTTATTTTGAGTCCTAATCTGTGTAGGGTAGTTAGGGTTATATCTGTGGCTCGTACCACATCTTGGTATGAAGGCACTACAATCAATGCCATGCATTTTGTAAATGTCATTGGTGCTGTGGATAGTGCAAAGGGGAGGGCACAAAACTGGTATGATATGCTGTCAAATCGAAATCGAAGGAATTTTTGATGAAGTGGGTGAATCAATATGTGAAAGTAGGAGTCCTGTAAGTCGATAACCATGAACCACTCTCCTTGTGAAAGAAGGGGAATAATGGTATCAAGAGTTAGCATACAGAATTTCCGTGGCTGAATATACTTGTTAAATTTCCTGAGATCAAGGATGGGGAGAAGTGAAATATTGTGAGTAAAAGCTGTTATTAGAGAATGATGAAGGGACTAAAATTGTGGATTGCTTTTGTTACTCATAATGATTGTCGAGATGATTGGGTCGATTTCGATTGTGGTTCAATGTCAGTATGAGAAGGAGGACCTGAATAAGTTGTAGATACTTGTAGAGCTGGTTGTTTTGATTGTTTTGACCTCTTGCTCAGTATCAGTGTTTCTGGTACTGAGGTAGATATTTTAAGTACAGATATCGAGGAAATGTGAGTCTGTGCTGTGGTTGAGTGTTGTGACTGGTGACGTCGGGTTGCCAGAGAGGGTGACCTTGACATCGAGTGTCTCAGTGGTGAGGCACATCATACTCTCCTTGCTTGTTTGTACAGTGGTGCCTCACTTTACGATTGCCCCGCATTACGACGAATCCGATTCCCAGAGCTCTATGGTAAGGTATAGCAGTGAGAGGGAATGTGTGCCTCCTTGTTAATTTACGTAGTACAGTACATCGCTGTGGTGTTGTCCATGGCTAGCTGTACTGCTTGTCCCTTGATGTGTGATAAGAATGCTCGAAAAGCTTTTATTATTGCTAGTAGTTCGAGATGATTTATATGTAGTGATTTTTCTCTCCTTGTCCATAGGCCATGTATTTCGTTGGTTGTGACCTGTATCGACAACTGCAGGGGCTTGAAAGATCTGCCTATTGCTAGGTGTGGAAGGAATGTCCACCAGGTAAGTTGATTTGCAAGTTCTGGTGTTACAATGAGGCATTTCAATTGTTGATCTGTCATGGGGTAGAATAGTGTAAGAAACCATGCTTGCAACGACCTCATCTTGAACCTTGCATGTTGCACAATGGTCATGGTAGATGCCATGAGCCCCAGTAGATGTTGGGCTCTGTGTGCTGATATCAATGTCATAGGTTGAAATAAGTTGATGGCTTGGTTTAGTTTGATGATCCATTTTGGAGATAAGTATGCTCTTGCCTTAGGGAATCTGGGCAGGCTCTGATGTAGTTGATCGTCTGTGATGGTTCGAGGTAAGATTTGGTGTAATTTATTTTGAGTCCTAATCTGTGTAGGGTAGTTAGGGTTATATCTGTGGCTCGTACCACATCTTGGTATGAAGGCACTACAATCAATGCCATGCATTTTGTAAATGTCATTGGTGCTGTGGATAGTGCAAAGGGGAGGGCACAAAACTGGTATGATATGCTGTCAAATCGAAATCGAAGGAATTTTTGATGAAGTGGGTGAATCAATATGTGAAAGTAGGAGTCCTGTAAGTCGATAACCATGAACCACTCTCCTTGTGAAAGAAGGGGAATAATGGTATCAAGAGTTAGCATACAGAATTTCCGTGGCTGAATATACTTGTTAAATTTCCTGAGATCAAGGATGGGGAGAAGTGAAATATTGTGAGTAAAAGCTGTTATTAGAGAATGATGAAGGGACTAAAATTGTGGATTGCTTTTGTTACTCATAATGATTGTCGAGATGATTGGGTCGATTTCGATTGTGGTTCAATGTCAGTATGAGAAGGAGGACCTGAATAAGTTGTAGATACTTGTAGAGCTGGTTGTTTTGATTGTTTTGACCTCTTGCTCAGTATCAGTGTTTCTGGTACTGAGGTAGGTATTTTAAGTACAGATATCGAGGAAATGTGAGTCTGTGCTGTGGTTGAGTGTTGTGACTGGTGACGTCGGGTTGCCAGAGAGGGTGACCTTGACATCGAGTGTCTCAGTGGTGAGGCACATCATACTCTCCTTGCTTGTTTGTACAGTGGTGCCTCACTTTACGATTGCCCCGCATTACGACGAATCCGCTTTACGATGATCTTTTTGTGATCGCAATTGTGATCACAAAATGATGGTCTAAATGGGGGAATTTCGCTTTGCGATGATCGGTTCCCTCCTTCAGGAACCGATTCTTCGCAAAACGATGATTTTTCAACAGCTGATCAGCGGTTTCGAAATGGCCGCCGGGTAGATAAAATGGCTCCCCGCTGTGTTTAGGGACGGATTCCGCGCTATACAGGAAGTGAAAATGGCCGCCGTATGGAGGATCTTCGCTGGACAGTGAGTTTTAAGCCCATTGGAACGCATTGAAAGGTTTTCAAAGCATTTCAATGGGCTTTTTATTTTCACTTTACGATCTTTTCGCTTAACGGCAATTTTCCCAGAACGGATTATCACCGTTAAACGAGTCACCACTGTACTGATACATGCACCTTTTAAACAGTCCATGAGGGGCCATAAAATAGAAAAAAGAGGGAAACCGTTGATGGGGGGGGGGAAACACGGGAAGCCGAAAAAAGTTGTATTACAGGAGAAAAATAGGTGGTAATCACAAAGGGACGTAAATATTAATAATTGTAATATAATCTAAGAGTTCAGATAATGACAAATGGATATTATTAATGAATTCTCGCTATCCGCTCTAGTGTGTTCCTGTACGTCTTTCCAACACAGCGGGGGGGGGGAAGGAACTGAGGGGACGATTGGAGGGAGGAGCTTGCGCCCCAGGGGGGATGTCTCATTGTAAAATGTTTTTTTGGCTCTAGAAAGTTCCGAAATGTCCTGCACATGTGCAGAATAACCCACTCGTGTGCATTTACACAGGCCACAAAGAAGAGCCTCTTGTTTGCAAAGTTAGACTTCAAGAGATAGTAACCATACTTAGGCTATGTCTCTCACTGTATCCACTGAAAATCAAAGATGCTTAGCACCTGACAATTAAAAAGACCACAATGATTTTATTAAAAGTCATAAGGTTTTTTTTTAATGGAACATTTTAATTGAAAAGTATTCCACTTCAGTTTTTCTCATGGAATTTGTGGGGGTGCCATTCCCAAAGTTGCTAAGCTGTTGGCTTAATCTACAGTAGAGGGCAAACCCTCCTGGGTGACGTCACAGCTGCTTCTGAGGGGCATGACTGCCCACCATTCTTCTTCTTTCTCATAGGTGCTAGAGAGTTTGCACAGAGCCTTTCCTTAGGCCAATTATAATGGCCTGATGTAGCCATTGTCCTATCTGAACTCTGTAACCTATCTGTATACTGTCCACTAACTGTGAGCTTGTAAGGTTAATTAAAAGCACAGTCCTCCTAGGGGCAGGGCAGAATTCATTGGGACCCCATTCGGTGTTATTCTGCATCTTCCCTAGGGGCAGGGCAGAATTCACTGCTGGCAGACATCCCTGTGTGTGGCTTACTTCTTTAACTTCTATCTCTAAGAGACTATTTGCTATCCTAATTAATTGTAATCATAAAGCTCATCAGCCTTCTCATTTCATGACTCCAACAGAATTAAATGATGCTGAAGTGTAGCCATGTTTAATCCATCAAAACTAGTAAAAGCTGAAAAAGTCCCAGCTTGTGCGCTTAAACACTAAATATTTTAGTGTGAGATTTTTTTGGACAACTGAAGTAGGCTATCAACCACAAGCTCTCATACTAAAATTAAAATTTTAAGTCTTTTTTGCTGCAAGAGACTAATAGATGGATAACTCTCTGAAAATTAGTACAACCTGAGACATTCAGATATACACTGTGCATGTACAAGTGCCAGGTTACAGGAAGCAACAAACAAATATAAATGTTTCCAAGAGACATTTTGGTTGTTGGCACTTCCCTTGTTTTACACAAGTTAAAAACAAATGCAGTGAACCAAAAAAAAAGCAACCATCTGTTTAGACTACATTGGCAAAGACCTTGTGGTTTATCTATATCTGAACTAAAATATTTACATGGAATGTTGAGTTTATAAAAACTATGTTTCAAGTCACAGACATCTACAGATCTGTTTAATAAATGATCACATTGACAAGAAATTCAAGAAAATTAATATCCCTTTTCACCTCTTTCCATAAATATATATAGTCTCACTAAATTCTTTTGCCTTCAAATAAGACAGCTAACATTTTTATATGTTAACATAAAATATCTGGGCTTCCTGTTTGCATGCCAAAGCTGTGATGCACCACCATCACATGCTATCAACAAGATAGAATGACTACACAAAACATGTATTTCTTTTTATCTACTCACACTTTGTTAAATATTTTGTCAAAAGGAAATTAAGAGAAAGCAAAAAATTGCTTTCTTCATTAGAGAGAACAAACATGAGGTGTCACCTGCATGTCACCAGTGTAAAACAAGAATAACCCCTAGTGTTTAATTACATTTATTTAAAAATAGTTTCATTGCTTTTGCAAATGCTGTTTTAGAAACGTATATATTAAAATAATGAAGCACTTGGTTAAATAAAATCCAGTTAAACAATTGCCTCTGTTCCAAAAGGTACTCCACACTCTGGTATCTCAATAACTTACAAAAGAATTACTCTTGCCAATCCAAGCCTTGATGTTTAAATTAAGCCTTACACTGTTTTTACTCCTAATAAAGCGTGATCTATAAATATTTTAGATGTAGAATACTATTGCTTACTCAAGAACGTTTTCTCACCAAAGTTATTGACCTTTATTATACCGTCAATCTGAATGTGGAAGGCATCTTCTCAGACACAAAGAAACACAACACGATTTTACTACACTTGATTTTAGTCAAGAGACCGAGAAGCAGTACAATTTTAAAATATCTATTCTAGTGAAGGAAATGTTTGGTTTGTCCAGTTTAAATTTTTGAAGTGCTAACTCTTAACCAGGCCTGGTACCAAAAATCTGAGACCACTTAAAAAAATTGGTCTCAGAGCTGAACACCCTTTATCATGTCATGGTTTATAGAAAGTTTCCCAGAGGAGATACAAATTATTGCTAAAAATGTGGTATCATAATAGTGGAAGATACTTTTTTTAAAAAGAGAAACACCAGTAATTCGATGTGGTAAAATTAGGCTTCAATGTAATATTTTATCTCCAATATTCTATTTCCAAACAAGAAGGCTTATACACAGGAAAGTAAAATCAACATTCCACTGCATCAAGTCTGTAAATGCACCAGTTTGCCAAACCAACAAAATGTCCATTTAGACCCAACTAAGTACCTTATTAAAATATTATGAAACATTTATTTCTTCAGAGTTATGAATGCACCCAACTGACTGGAACCCAAAATGCTTCTCTCTCCAATTTGTCAAAGGTTGTTTTCAACTCGTTGTAGGCTGTAGTAAGATCGTCATTTACTATAACTTTGTCAAAAAGATGGCTGTACTGGCTTTCCATAATCTGTGCAGATCTAATCATTTCTTGAAAGTCTTCTTCCTAGCACAGAGATAAGCAGGCAGGGAGAAGTAAAAAAATCAAACAAGGCAATCCATGCAACTTCCAAGAGCACAGGGAATTAAGTCTTATGGCTTAGATTCAATGATCTTGCTGCATTTCTATATGCGCAAAAGGAAACTGGCTGAATCCCATATCCCAATTCCTAACTGGTTCTAGAGACTTCATTGCTTACCCCTTTCCAGCAAGCACAATGTGCGTTTGGGGGCTCTCCCTCCATTCCTACGAATTAGTGGTCATACTTCCCATGTCTGCTGCAAAATCTCCAGTTTAAAGTCTATATTTAGCTAATTGTTCATTAAAAATGAACAAAATTTTTATTTGTTACAAAATTCACATAAATCCTAATTTCAGACTATTTTGTAATGATTTTCTCCTACATAACAATATATTTAGCTATTAATTGATAATTAAAGGAATGTCTGTTCGCTAGAAAGAGCACTGGAAAGAAAATTTAAGCTGTTTACATTAATGATGTACTAACCAAGTACATTACCTAAGACTCAGGCTGCTATTAGCAAGGGATTTATTAGAACACAGTCTGTATTTTTGAAAGTTTGGTAATAATCCAAGGAATCATTCCTTTTGGATTCCTGGGTCTTACTAGGGCTCATTCAGTAGGTGAATGCTCATGTTTTTGGAAACATGGAATTTAACTATATAAACTTAAGACAGAAAGTCTTAAGAAGAGAATACTCCCAAGATTGCATTACACTTTTCCAAGTTAAAAAACTATTTGTGCATTCAAACAGCCTGGTCTTGAAAAGGCTCACTCACCCAAATATTCCAATTTTCAGCCTAAATCCCATGCAATGCTAGTAAGAGTCAAAATCCCATCTAGCACAGTTACACCACTGTGCAAGCAACTTCTGTCATGGCAGCTGTTATACTGTTGTTGCCACTGCCATGGAGAACATGAAGTGAAGAGTCAAGGCCTCCTGGGGTGATCAGCCTCTCTAATTCAGCTTCCTGTATTTTTTTACGAAGCTATGCTGAAATGATCTGTATTGTGTTCCAAGGACATGCAATCAGCTTCAGCCATGGACATAATCCTGGTCTCTTCCTACCAACAGGAATGTACAAGTGACTTACTTGAAAAGGTTTGGCAGCACTTTTTTCATCCTTGCTTGAAATTATCTTGGCATTTTTTCTTGTTTCTCGCAAACGCTGTATTGATGGAGGTTTTATAAAAATTACAAATGGTTTAAATTCTAGTGTCCTTAAATGTTTCACTGTCTAGAGAAAAGAAAATGTTAACTTATGAGTGGTGTTGTTTTAAACTGTCTTGGAGTAATCTGGCAAGCTATGAATGTACTGCTATTAACTGTAATTTACAGCATTTTAACTGTGCAAAGCAATCTACAAACTTTCATTCAGAAATAGCCCCCTTAGTATTTCCTGAAATATCTGTCATTTTTGTCATTTATTTTCATTCCATAAACATAGGGCTGTAAATAAGTCTCCACAGAAAGAAAGAAAGAAAGAAAGAAAGAAAGAAAGAAAGAAAGAAAGAAAGAAAGAAAGAAAGAAAGAAAGAAAGAAAGAAAGATTAAATGTGCTTATCTGTAGACTTTTCTGTACAGAGTCATGAACAAGGATAGTGCTATATAAATAAATGACACATACATAAAGAATAATAGTAATTTAACAAAAAATTCTTTTGTAGTTAGTGTGCTAATCAGTTAAGTCTTTCAGAATTCACACCCACATTTTCATGCCACTAATCTTTGGCTATAAGCCCAGAAGTGTTTTGTTGCTTTCCCCATAGAATTTATAGCAGGCACTGCAAGTCTATAGCAGATTACTAACAGAAAAATAAAATAAAAGCCTTATTGCTTACTTACATGAGGTTGTACATCCAATAAGCAAACTTTATTTTTAGCCAAAACAGATCTCACCGAGTCTATGCTGGTACCATAGTAATTGTTTTTATATTCTCCATATTCAATAAACCTGTAATTTAAAAATGTGTATTATTCCAGTTCGTTTAAGGAGCAACAAAATGTTAAATTACACAAGCATGGTTCATGTGACTTGCTATGTGACAATTTTTTTGGTTTGCTGGTTTATTTTAAAATGGGCAGTCTAGAAGTGCAGGAGATTAGCAATACTTTTAAAGGTTTGAGAATAGGTTGAGATCCTTTTAGCCCCAAGATATCTAATGATTTGCTTTCTACCATCTTCCTCTGAATGAATGCAATGTAATAAAACTAATATGATGATGTATAATATCACTTTAAGCCATTCCCTTATTTGAGAAGCAATATTAATTGCAGAATAGCAAGTAGCAGTTTCAAAAACAAGAATTAAAACTGCTACCGCATACATCTTCAGACTTTAATTATTGTTGAAAATGAGAGTATAATTCATTCCATATGAATTACCATTTTTATCACTCATCAGGACTTGCCAGCCTGTGTGCAGGGTAAGTGGCATTGCTAAGTCAGTCATATTTAGGGGAAACTGAAAATGTATTGCTGCTCTCCAATAATTCAAATTAAGTTTGCTCTAATTACATTGAGTATTTAAATAAGAACAGATTTTAAAATTACCAAAATGATGTCAAGTGACAAAATGACAAATATACTTAAAAGTTCCTGTTTCCCCACATACTTGTTATTCTGCACATCTGTCTCAAACAAGTGCTTGGAAATAAAAATGTACTCAACACCATCACTTTCTTGGCTTCTTCTTGGTCTTGTTGTGTCTGTTTTTATTAAGACAAAATTAAAACAGAATTAAAACAGTTTAAAAACAAAGACAAACAAACAAAAATCCTATCCTATTTGGTGTTAACTACACAAGACACTGGCCAAAATTCTGTGCATAGCTACACATGCAGAAGGCAAATGGCAAAATGCTAAATTCTCATTGAGAATAAACTGGACTGGCATGTGCATGAAACTCATTACCATAGATTTGTGGATTAGTGGTGAGAAGCTGCTGCAAATGACTCCATCTACCTTCTGCAGGCATTAACAATGCCATAGGATTTTAGCCTCTGTTGCAATGAGAATAGATGGTATTGAAGCTTCAATAGGGTGAAACAAAACATCAGAACTCACCCCCATTTCTAGACATACAGAATGCTTGAATGGGCTTGTTATCCTCCCTACCTCCCACCGGCACACACAAGGATAATACATGTATTTGTATTCATGCCCAGCTTTATTCTTCTGTCATATTCCATTCACAATATTCAATTCATTATAAAAATAATCCTATATTTTTATAATGTAGGCTTGGTTACTAAACTAGTGGTTTTAAAAATCAGGGGAAATGCAGTGTATGTGGAATTGAGGCTTATGCGTGATCTCACTCTATGGATAAGCTCTTCAAAACTATTTTAATGATTTCAATATTCTGCATGCTTCTCTTATCTGACTTGTCCTCAAAGTTGACCTTACTTTGTTCAATTACTGAAAATAGTTTTGAGCATAACTTGTCTCTGAAAATCAACATGCTTTTAAGACTTTCTGCTAAAACAACTTATTGTTACCTCTCAACAATTTGTCCAAGGGAAAGCATTCACATTACAACTGGTAGGTTATATACACACTGTTGTATGTACAGCTAAAACATGTTTTTCATGCCATTTCACAGGATCTGACAGTAAAATCAACTGAAATTTTATTAAAGCTTTGCATTAATCCTCCTTTCAATATACTCTTATGTACTTTTCAGCACTATGGATGTCAAGGTTTTATTTTAAAGTATATACTAAAATAATTTATCATAATATTGCCTCCGTCCCCTTCATAAAGAAAAGATTATTTAAAATATTCTTGATTATCTACAAACTGTGATTACATCCAGCAAATAGTGGTTAGATCAAATAATCTCTCTCTCTTTTTTTAAAAAAATAACAAAACCATATTAAAGAAAGTCCAGACTGAGCTACAGACAATATGCTAATATAATAATTAGATTATTCTTTATCTCTCCCATGCCTTGAAATAGTTTTGACTATTGTCTACTGAGTTGGAGTGACATGCAAACACTAGCACAATACATTATGAAAATGGCACAGACAGAAGTGTATGCCTGACTGTTGCAACCAAAGCCCACTGGCCCATTACAGCTCCATCCAGGAGGCCACAAAATCCCATCATCTCTGCCATGTGGGACACAGATCCTGCTACCACCTTGGGGGAGTTCCATTCTACATGCCTGCTTTTTTTTTTTTTTTTTTGCCTCTCACAGATAAGTGAGAAACTTGGTCCAAAATATTGGCATCAGGCAACAACATAATACGTTTGGTTCAAGAAAGATGTGATCAGCAAATCAGTTGATTTATATTCTTAAGACATAAGCAACAATAAAATGAGAGATAGGCAAAGTACAGCTCTCCCGATGTTGTGGTGCTGCAAATCCTATCAAAGTAACTAAAATGTGGCAGAAGACTGAGGATGAATGTTGGAAACTGCAGTATAGTGACAGCTATAGTTTGGCTGTCTTTGCTTAAAAGGAAGATGGGTGTGCAACACCAAAGCTGAAACACTTTTATTTTTATGGGAACTTAAAAAAAATTAAATGGATACATACAGTGGACCCTTGACTTACAGACGGCTTGACTTACAGACTTTTTGAGTTACAGACTTCTCTGGCTACAAAATTTAGGTTTGACTTGCAGACTGAGATTTGACTTACAGACCAGAAAAAAACCAAAATGGAACAAAAATGGCCTGTTACAGGATTAATCGGTTTTCAATGCACGGTAGGTCAATGGAGACTTGACCTACAGACTTTTTGACTTGAGAACCGCCTTCCAATACGGATTAAGTTCTCAAGTCAAGACCCCACTGTAATATTGATGGAACATATGTTTACTTACGTGGGACTGTTACACCATAATGCTGACTATCACTGATTAGCAATTTTCGTTTTAGTTCATTCACTCCTACACCCACAGGACCTAAAAGTTTAAACATATTTTAATCAATTATGCTTCTTTGATTACTAACATTATATCTTACAGCATCTGATGATGAGAAATCTGAAAGTCTGCTCCAGAGAAACAACACCAAAGAACGCACTTGCACTGGCAAAATCCAACACCATTAGAATTCACTATGGGAGTCTAAAGAGACTGCCAAAGATATGAATTTGTGTGACCAGTAGCCTTTTCTGAATTCAGTACTGTAACAATCAGTCTTCTGCCTATTTAGTAAAGAAGAACCAAACTTAAACTGAATCTTGAAGAACAGCCATATCTCATAAAGGGCTAAGCTAAAGACGCAGAAAAAGACAACTTAGGTGATCAGAAAATTGAGTATTGTATTGTTGTTTTGATCACTTTGGTTATTCAGCATCCACCAATTTAAAACATAAGTACAAATATACACACACACACACACACACACACACACACACACACACACACACACACAATGCCGTAATAATAAACACAATACTTGCAGATTAAAAAGTACACATGTACAAATATGCACATTCACCAAAATACTGGGTTAAAAACAAAATATAAAAAGATGTAATTTCAATAGAAAAATAAAGTCATTTTAATTAACTGTGTAGGTTTTCAGATACTCCCTCCTTAACTTCTCGGCAGCTAATGCGAATATTGCCACTCTATCTACTGCCTTGTTAACATCAGATAAGATATTTTGTTCACTTGTATCTAGTATATCCTGTAGCAAAATCAGGGGTTTATTTTGTTCACTTTTATTCTAGTACAGTATATCCTGTAGCAAAACCAGGGGACTGAAACACCACCACCCCTGGAGGATTACAACATTTGGTTGTATTGTTATCTCTTGATGGAAATAGCTACGTTTCTGTGTGGCCTTTCCCCTCCACCCCAGCCAAACAGGAATCTTAAGTTTGCACCTCCATACAGATTCACCCCATTTCCTGGAAAATGTTAGTCTTCACCAAGACAAAACCTGTTCTGTGTATAGGTGTATTTTGTTCATCCCATCTAAAGTTCATAATTTGTTTTAAACAGAATGCTCAAAGAGAGACTACATAATACTTAGTCTTCTTAATACCAGATCACATAATGCATACACTTTGTAGTTAGAGGGAGTCAATTTGAGCACATAAGAAAGCAAGCTTTCAGAATGTTAACCAAGATTGAAAGTATGAAACATTTCAGTTAGCTCCAGGTCTTTATATGAAGTACAGTACTTTCACCCGTCCTAAATTACCGTATTTTTCGCACCATAAGACGCACTTTTTTCCCACAAAACAGGGGGGTGGAAAGTCTGTGCATCTTATGGAGCGAAGAAAACCGATTATATTTTCCTGTTTTCTTCTCCTAAAAAATTGGTGCGTCTTATGGAAAGGTGCGTCTTATGGAGCGAAAAATACGGTACATTTTTTCCAGAAAAACCAAGCTGTTGCAAACTTACAGATTGTTCTCATACAAGAAATTGCATGTCAAGTTTCAGGAAATATGACTACTTGCATATCATGTTTAAAATGTAAAAGCAATCTTTTGGTTCATTCCGAACATTTAATAGTCACAAAGAGGTGTAAAAATGACTGATTGTTCAGTAACAGTAGGAAGAATGTCTGATGTAAGCATACTACTAAAATTCTGTTCAGTTATGCAAACACTTTGATTTCCACTAATCCATTGACTTTCTTCCCAAGATTTTGAGGCTTTCAAAGGGTATTTGAAAAAGGCATGAACATATTGTTTTGCTCTGAAACCCAAACCATTTGCTTGCTGAAATGTTTAAAATATGTAACTGAATCAACACTTCAGTGCTTTGAGTAAACAGATGACCAGCAATCATGTCAAGGCATCTGTAACAGTTTACAGCGTATTTTTTCCCTCTAAACACCTGTATATGAAATAAAATTCAGTAAATGTGTTGGCTTGGATCCTAGCTTTTTGCTTTGCAAACAGAAGAGGCATTCACGAAATGTGAACTGGACACATAGAAAGGGGACTTCTACTCATGGAAGCATCTCTTCTTTCAATACAACTTTCCCTACACAAAAACTTACGGTCTAATTCATGCAATTTAAACAGCTAGTTGGTTCAATCACTCAGATTAAGATTCTTCCCACCGTTAAGTAATCCCCTCAGCCACCATCTTTTTTTTAACTTTTAAAAATGATTAAAACACTATTCACACAATTCTAGACAACATTAGTACTATCTGATTTATACATTATTATTCTGTATGCAAGTGGACCCAAAAAGTGCCTTCCAATACCTAACTATACCAATAACCCCAATATTATTAAAGCAATTACAGTAACCTAAAACCCAAGACTCAGCACTAAAACCAGCTTTAAAAATACATAGGCTGCCAGTTCACCCCCAAAAAGTCAGAAACAAAAAGCCTTTTCTTTTTTGTCTTCTGAACAACATGGGCCTTGCAATACTGCCACAATAAAGCAGTCCTCTGAGAAGGTGCTGTCACATGGAAAAATTCCAGTTTCTCTGTCACCACCAAATTAATTTTGGATAGCCATGGGAACTTGAAGAGGGGTTGTGTTATAGGATCTAGGCACAGGAGGGGCTCAACGGAATGTTCCTACTTCTTCTCATTCATTTTAATGCTTTACTATAACATATTTAAAGCCATTTTCTTCACCCTACCTTGGTCATCATCCAAGGGACCACTCACTACAAATTCTTCATAAGAAGGGTAAGTTATGAGAACAGCACACATAAGCCCCTATTGCAACTGGGTTGCTTTTGCTTCCAGTGAATTCATCGTTGTGTTTTATTATCATATACACTTCTACTTTATAAACTAATTTGATTACTTCAGCTAATAAGCAGGATGTTAATTCATCAAATAATTATAAATAACCTAAAGGCTTCATAGATGTGGTAAGAGTCAAACAGAGAGATAGCACTAATGTATGGCAGTTGTAAGGAGACAGAGAATAGGCACTCACACAGAGGGAGATGAGCTTTGTGGAGGCTTACGGTGTGGATTTGAAAGGCCAAAGAACAAGGGGATGGAGAAAAGATAATAAGTCACCTTACAAGGCATATAAGAAATGAGCTTTTTGATTTATTGCTGCTTTAGTGTTTCTTGAACATTTCCGTCATTCTAGCACCACAGATAAACTTGCACACAGGTATCAGGCATACATCACTCAATTTTCTGGATTCCAAATGCCAGAATTTTCCATTTTGGGGATTCTACCTGCCAGACCCAAATCTCAATGATGTTCACCTGGAAAAAAGGCTGGGCTGGAAGGTTTCACAGCCTAGGATAGGCTGAGCTTTCTTTTCTAAAAGACTCGTAGGACAGAGCTCAGTCTGTCCCAAACCATGAAACTTCAATCCTAGCTTTTCTCCAGATTATAACTGAGGTTTGGGTCTTGCAGGTGAGCTCCCTGAATAGAGAATTCTAGAATATAAAAAGGAAAGGGGGAAAAAAGAATTGCATATTCCTAAAAGGCAGTCCTAGACTGATATAAAAACTGCAACACTCAGGACAAGATAGTCATCCCTTCATTTGTGTCCATGATTAAATATGAGCACTCATGTTACCGTGTTTCCCCAAAAATAAGATAGGGTCTTATATTAATTTTTGCTCCAAAGAAAGAAGTAGGGCTTATTTTCAGGGTTTTTTCATGTACCGCAATCTATGTTTATTCAAATACAGTCATGTCATCTTCTGGTTGCTGTACAATGGTGGAAGGTGGACTTTCACTTAACTAGGGCTTATTTTTGGGGTAGGGCTTATATTACATGCATCCTGAAAAATCATACTAGGGCTTATTTGGGTTGGGTCTTATTTTCATGGAAACAGTGTAGGTACTGTCATAATTACAGATATGCTAGACTTCTGTTAGGTTGCTGAAAACTGGTGATATATGTAACATCTGTATACTCCACTTATTTCTCGGAGACAGTACACTCTAGTTAAAACTTACTTTGTTACTGACTCTGAGTTTATTTTGCCCTTCTGAACTCCAATAAAATGCTCTTACACTTATGAGCAAGGCCTTCTCCAATGTCCTCTGAAGATGCTGGCCACAGCGACTGGCGAAAGTTTAGGAAGAAAAATCTCCAGAACACGGCCAAACAGCCAGAGAAACCTAAAACAACCTTCTCCAATGCTTTAACATACCAATCAACATTTCACATTCCTTAGGGCAACCTTACCTGGAAAAAAGGCTATTTTTAGATACTGGAATGTCAGAACCATTGCTGTTGGTATCTACACTGGCTGAAACCTTGGACCAGGTGTATTCCATAGTGACAAAACAAAAAATTGGAGAGTGGTGGCAATAGTTGAATTGTGTGGTGGATCAGGGTGAGCAAACAGCAACATGCATATTTTATTTAAAACAGTCTTGTTTTAGAAACTGAACCAAAGAGAATAAGTTAATTGAAACAACAGTCAGCCAGGTTGCTTATCTGTAACTTTGTTTTTTTGAGTGGTTATCTGTGAACTCATACATGTGAGTCAAAGAATCTGCATGAGGCCATGTTTGGAAGCTTCTAGAATTGAAAGCACTCTCTCTGGTTCTGCTCAGTCCCTCACACCTGTACCAGCATGCTTCATCTCCTCAGTTATAACCACTGTGTAAGGCAGTTCCAAATGAGTGTGACTGGGGAAGCAGGCAGGTTGTGTGAGTTCACAGATGACCACTCAAAGAACTACAGTTACAGGTAAGCAATTATCCTTCTTCATCATGGTCTCTGTGATTCACACATGTTAGTAAATGACAAGCTGTTCTTACCAGTGGACGCCATCATGCCAAGTCTGCCAAGGGCTTTGATTCTGGAAGCTTGAGTATCAATTCTGTAGTGAGTGTTAAAAGTTACTGGCTTAGACCACATAGCAGCTTTACAGATTTCTGTGAGGGATATGCCCTGCAGGAAGGTTGCGGAAGTAGTTGTAATGCTAGTTGAATGGCTAGGCAAAGTCTGAAATAGGGGCTGATCTTGGAGTTGATAGGCTAGCCACAACCCATTCGGCCAGTCTTTGTGATGATACAAGGTTGTCCTTTTCTTGGCCCTTGGTACCAGATAAAGCATGGTGCCTATGTACTGGATAAGCTGAGTAGGTTGAAAGTGAGGCTTTTTGTAGTTTATGCAGAGATCCTGATCAGAAAGGATACAAAGGGTGAACAAGTCACGTTGAAGCCAATGCTTTGAGAGGACAATGAGTAACCAGTCGACAATCTCTTCACCAGATTATGAAGTAGTCACGGACAATACAGTCACTATGTTTTTGCCTGAACAAACAGGATGGCACACATTTCCACAAACTACTCTGAGTTGCCAGTTCCATCTGGGAACGGTGCATCAACAGGCAGTCCCCTCTCCCACATTGCTATAGATGTTACTGAGGAGCAAAACACTCTGACAGATGGTCTAAGCAGACAACACATACAGAACCACAATTGCAGGCTCCAATAAGATGTGTGTGGCAACCTTGTTCACCAATGGGGAGAACCCTAAGTGGACCTGTTTGCGTCTCAGCAGAGCAAGAGACTGTGGTAGTTGATTGTGATCGGTGTTGAGGATGGTGAGATGGTTTGGGCAAGTGATCCTGATGGAAGGATCAGAAGTTAATTACAGCCATAACTGTGAGGAAACTGTCTTGTCATAAGCATAATGTCAGTACTGGAGATAGTCATACCAATCAATGTTGGGAAAACGGTAAGGCCAGTAGACATCTCTGTCACGTCTGCCAGTGTACCAAGAAGAATGATAATGGTGTCTACAGCAGCAGCAAATGACAGTCCTGGGTCTATGACAGCGATCTAGAGTGATGTTGGCATCATGGAGGTGACACTGATGGTGATGGAGACCTATCACTTTAGCCAGTATCGTGGTGGTCTGAATGTCGCAATGTAGTTGTAGTGCATGGAAGAGCTCCAGTCTCAAGTTTGGTGTCGTGCAGAAATATCAGAGGCCTGATAAATGTAGAGAGGTGATGAAGGGAAAACAGATGTCCACTCCTGGCCTCAAAGTCTGTTGGGTTGGTACTGGTTTAATGTAAGCTTGGTACTGTGGCAATATGTGCTGTGAAGCTCAGCTTCTGATACAGAACCCAAGCAGACCACCTGTTTGTGGTCAGGGAACATCTCCATGGGTGGTGATGGAGGGCTGAGTTGGGCAGGTAGTCAGTCAGAGCTGAAGCTGTCAGTGGTAAAGTTGGGTCATTACCAAGGGCTCCACTGGTGCTGGAGAGGGCTTGTTCATATTCTTGCATTTACTCCTCAACTGGTCTTTGTTTGTATTTGACCACGTCCTTTGGTATTGCTTGTTGAGCAAAAGTGGTACAGTCCTGTGTTTGAGTGGGATCTCTCAGTATCAATTCTTCCAAGTCCTTCGCTGTCGATGGGACGGTTTCTTTCATTTTAAATGAAGAAAATAGCGACAAATGGCAAAAGAAAGAGAAAACTATTTAAACAAGGTAGAGAAGGTGATCTTTCTTTTGGCCCAGAACCTCTAAGGTGGTGCTCTCATGGCAAAAATGAATGAACTGAGGTGACTGTGAAGCATGCTGATATAAAGGAGAGAGAGAGGGCAGAGCCAGAGAGTGTGTGTGTGCTTTCAAATCTAGAAGCTTCCAAGCAGGCACTCTGACCTATCTGTGTGAGTCATAGAAATCGTGATGAAGAACAGTTTTACCAAACTTGACATCCTTCAGCTATTGTTCGGTATATAACTCCCATCCCCAGCCGGTATGGTCCCAGGCCAGAGAAGGCTGCAACAGAGCTTAAAGACAACTATGCATGGCAAGGATATAGGCACAGAATAATCATGTTTATTGCAGAATATACCCAGAACTCAGGTGTGACCTCTCTACAGACTGAACCTGACAATATGGCTCAGCAACCTACAGGTAAAAGCAAATTCTTTTACACTACCACCAAATAAAGAGAACAGACTAAAGCCACAGGGAGCTTTCATTCTCTGGTACAAGGAGTTTACATTCTGTGAATTTGAATAAATGTATTTTAAACAATGTTACGTGAAATCTCTCCTTGGCAGGCAATTATTTTTTTAAATAGGCTCCAACAGTAAATTGTGCTTTCGGTTACTACATCTGAATGTTTTTGTCACAACTAATTATGTGAAAATTTAATTATTTGTCCTTGTATTTCCTGGCACTAACATCAAAATTGTATTTCACACATCATATTGGATGCTGCTACTAGCATATATTAAGCTTTTAAAACTAATCATTTCTACTGTGCCTACATTAGCAGTGCCAGTTTTTCCACATTTTACCCAAGACATTTTTATGATATTGGCCAGACTTAAGCTGCTTCTAATACCAAGAGAAAAACATCAAAATTACTGAAGTCTGCAATAAATTTGTGAGCTGCTTTTGTTACTGTAAAAGCACACTTTCTTTGCATGATTTATTACTAGCAAAACAAAATGAAATTTCTAGATATTCCTTAGAGCCAGCATATGTGATTTGTTATAAAAAGTCCACTTATCACACATTTCACAGAACTCTGTTGATATAGGTGTAAAATCAACTCAAGCATGTTATTACTTGCTGTGAAGAACCCACAATCTCTCGCTCACAGTAGTAGGTGCCTGAACTTGTGCGTTAGAGAATGACAAAGCTGTTTATTAAAAACTGATTTTAAGTGTTCCCTTGGATATGAGCTATATAAAAACAGCAGTTCCACAGTTCATAACAGTCCCTGATAGAGGGTCATATTTCTTCTGGTCTGCATTTTTTTAACATAATGGAAGAAATTCTGCTAATGAAGTACTGCCCTATATACCACTGCAAAAGAAACAAAAATGTACTGCAGCAAGTACTAAAAATGTTAAGTGTTGTATTTGAAAAGGGAGTTCAAGGGGGGGAAATTAAAAGCACACATGGACACGAAGACAGTCTTTCTGTTGGTGACTTCAAGAACTGCTTCCATGCAGGTGAATAATGAACCAGTTATCATTATCAGTGAGGGTTCTGAAGTAGCTTTAAGCCACAGAGGAAAGGTACTCAAAACTTTAATAAAAATCCATGTATTCCATTTTTTAAAGAAAGAAGAAACATAATATGGAAACGATACACTTAAAGCTCTGTCATCATCATTATCTAGCTTCCTAACTAAAGAATTAAAGAATTAAAACTTACCAACCAAGACAATAAGTCGGTACTTCTCATGAGGTTGTCGTCTGTACTTTGCTACCTCTTCATAGGTTGGGACATCTGCTGTATCATACTGATCACTCTTCTTGCATTCATACATAGTTTTGTTTGTTTTTTTATCTTTCTTGCTTAGCCGAAAACTCCTCCTAAAAGAAGCTGTGGTTACAAGATTAAAAAAACAAAACAATCAAGGGTTAATGCCATCAGTCAAGCAAGCAGATCATCTGGAACAAATGCTTCCTGAAAGGGGCTATTCCCTGATTTTAATTGTTATGGTTTTATCAAAAATATAAATGGAACAGGCTTAAATTCCGCCATATATATGTATCTTTTTGGTATCAATGCAAGGAATGCAATACAGGGATTTTTATTTAGTTTTACCTCTTTGACCCCTATATGCAAAATACAAACTACTTTTGAGATTCTCCTTTGTTTTGAGACGGGTATGTGGCCTATACATTACCAAATAAATTAACTCCAAGGTACCATTCTCAAAAAATATGTATTGCAGTTGAAAATTAAAACATGAAGTTTCACAATAATTCTTTTTTTAAAAAAATGTGTCATAGACATAGAAGGGGTTAAGTAATGAGAACACACCAATTTCAACATAGTCAAAATTATTTATGCAGTCAAACTGAAAAATTTATTTAAAAACCCCAAGACTTCATAATTTGTATAAGTACTTGCAGGAGCAACAAGAAATTCTCATAGAATGCAACCTGCCTATTCTACATCAGAGGTGTCAAACTCAATTTCATCTTGGGCCACATCAGCATTATGGTTGCCCTCAAAGGGCCGGTTGTATCTGTAAGACTATGTAAGTGTAAGAACAGGAGTGGGCAATAGCAAGGACTACATTTCCCAAGGTGCTGTATGCCACTCAAGCAGCTGCACTTTCTTCACTGCTTGGAGTGCTGGGATTAGAAGTCCCGTTAGGCAGATTCCCAGCATCCTTGCAGAGCATTATGGGTGACCAAGTAAGAACCTGTGTACTGTCTGCTGCACAGTAGCAGGCAACACTGCGAGGGCCACATGAAACAGCCCAGCGGGCTGGATTCAGCCCAAGGGCCTTGAGTTTGACACGTGTTCTACATAAATTCTTAATTATAGTTGAGAATATTTATGTCACATTCAAACTGGCTAAAATTAATTCCATTTAGAGATGGGTGTATCTAAAACATATTTATAATTTTATATCTTCAGCTATATTAAAAACTTGCAGTTTGGCAATTGCAACAGGCACATTTTAGTTGAGATAACAAAGACATTTAAATGAGATAATGAAGACACCATGAGAAGTGCATTAAGTTTAATAAAAAGCAGAAATAACTAAGGGAACCATTAGTGTGTAATGCAATACAGCTTCCTTTGGAAAAATGAAAAAGCAGCAGTCAGTACCATATACCGGTACATTTATACGTGTGTTTAATATTTACATTTAAATAAATATATGTTTAGTTGTTTTTGATATGATATTTACACAGTACTGTGAAATTGTGGGTATCAGTATTTTTAAAACTGCTGTTTGTTTTATAATTTTAGTCATGAGCAGCCTTGGTTCCCCTATGGGATGAAAGGCAGCATATAAGTAATATAAATAAAATAAATAAAAAATTAATTTGTATCATTTGTAGGCTGCCTTTCTCCCAGTGAGGGGACCCATGGAGCTTGCAATGTTAAAACAAGTAATCCTAAAAACACCATAAATCACAGATTAAAAAGCAACTACACTACAATACTAAGAAAAAAGCCATTAATTAATTAAAAACATTTAAAACTTTAAAAGCAAACTTTAAAAAGAAAGAAATCCAGGAACTCAGTCATAGTTATTTAAAAGCCTGTCTGGAGACATGGAAGGTTAAAAGAGAGGGGGCAAACCTAACCTAATTATCTAGGTTTGCCATTTTCAAATCCTCATCAGATACTACATTTGCACCTTGTGATTTTTTCATATATTGTACAGGAGAAGTCAGGCCAAGAGAGAAAGTGACATTTAAGACTACCTAGGGGTATTGTGGCTCTCTGTGCATCTATACCTGGGTTTCAACATTCAACATAATATTGTGTTCATTTTTAGACCCATATTATTAAAAATCATTTAGGAAGGCATAATTATAAACATTTGAAGCTAATTATTTGAATGGAAGCCATATTCAAATGGCATTCTACTAGGAATTTGTAGCTACTTGTTCAGCTAACTGTGTACAGTGAAACAGGGCATACAAAAATATAATAATGAAAAATTCTGCTTCTGGAAGATGGCCGGGATCCAATGTAGGTGACTTTTAAGAGAAATTACATTGCATGTTGGGAGTTGGCAATAGGAAAGACTTTGAGCCAAAGGAGCTCATGGCAGAACTGAGAAATCCAGGACTGTTTATGTCCTTACGCCCCCCGCCAAGACTTTTATCATTTTCTGCAGACAATTGGGGATGTGGTGCAGAATCTTAATTGCTGTGCCTAATGATTTCCCCCTCATTAGGTCTGTTCATGATGACACCGTTACTTTAGATCCCAGCTATATGCACATAGGGAACAGGTCAATTCAAACATATATCCTGTAATTGAGAAATTAATACAACTGAGGTACAGTAAACACAGTTTTGGTACAAGGACACGGTCGCTTCCACTCATAGCATTTCCAGTGAAATGTGGCTTAACTAGAAGCTATCCAGATATTTTCTGTTGTATGGCTTCCAGGTGACAACCAAACAATGGAGAACCAAAACTTTCACCGTTACAATGGCTGAACATCAGTAGGAGAATGAAGGCTTCTGTACATGAAAAGGGCAAATATAAGCCAACCAGTGGTAGGTTTGTGGAGCAGGCTTTACTCCTACTCAGCACTGCCTGCAGAGTAACAATTCAGCTCACTAATGTCATTTCACTGTATGCATTTGGTTGGCTATCCAGTTCTAGCATTATGAATACAGTATTTATAATTACTTTCTAAAAACCCCGAACATCAATTTTTCATTTCATTAAAAAAATAAGCTTTATCCATCAGTCATGGACACTATTTTAATGACAAGAGCATTCACTCGGAAGTGAGTCGTACAGGGTTAAATACAGCATAATGCCATACAGAGGACTAAAATACAGTAGGATTCCCATATCCACAGGGGATCTGTTCCACAATCTACCACAAATGCTTGAAACCAAAAACAGTAGCAAGCCCTATATACAACATAAAAAGGGATGGGAGAAAGACCACAAGGCCTACCCCCTTTTATGTTATATAGAAGGCTGTGGTAAACCACGGATAACTGAAACTATAGGTACCAGTCCTGTAGATATGGGGAATCCTACTCTATAAAACTAATTTAATTCTGCCTTTAATTTAATTAAACCAGGAATTATTAGCTACATTTTGGTAAAAGCAGTTGAAACCACTTTAGTAACTATACTGAATTATATTGGAATTACTATCATACTGAGCTATTTTAAAGCATAAACAAACAAACAAACAAACAAACAAATAAATAAATGCCCCTCCCACAGTTAAACATTATAATTCAAGGTATTTCTTGGTTGTCAAAAAAAGAGGTTTTGTGAAGTTTGTGACTTTTAGATATCCATTGTATTCAACCTGTGCAAGTTGGTCTGGTTGAATAATTAATGAAACAAAATGCTTTTGGAAGGATATCTAATTTATATTAGTAAATAATCAAAGCAGACCTAGGAATATCAAACCCTACAGAGGCTTTTCCACATCACCTACACTACAGTTCCCTTTCTTGTTCAGCTGAACTGCTGGAAGTTTCTAAATGCACCTAGTCACCTTGGAAATGCTACATACTTTGAGGAACTAAATGTACAAGGTCCACTGCTAACTGCAGCCACACCTGTATTCTTAGGGGATGTTCTAGGTGTCTTTGCTTTAACTGATGATTATACAGTTTTAAAGCAATCATAAGTAGTAAACCACTCAACTATTTGTCTTCTTTTAATGTATGAAACCAGTTCAACTAGAATAGTTTACAATAAAGTAGTTTACATTAGAATTATTTGTCATAAAATAATTGCAATTACCATTAAATTACATGAAAAGTAATGTTATTGCTACTTTTCACTGTTGCTAGTTTAAATAAATTGTTGCTTCCCAAAGTTGTAAACACTTGAGCCCCACTCAGGTGTTAAAAGTACATTGAAAGCTAAATGGATAGCTGAAACACATGTAAGCTTGACCTGTAGTGTCCCCCTCACCATTGGAAATAAGGCAAATCTACAGAGCTGAGTGTGCTTATAATGTTCCTCTGATCAAGAGTCCTGGGTAAGGTGGATACGTGAACACAGGAGTTCTGTAAGTGCACTCAGCTGCATGCACTTCAAAGTTCTTCTGTAGGCCTTTACACTGTGTATACTCATATATGCAAATTCTACTGTAGATGTAATAGAAATGGGTCTGGCTGAGTTTGTCAGGAGATATTGGCCCCAGATAATCATTGCTATAACACAAGTACTTCTTCTAAGTATTAACTCATGAGCCTCAACTATAGACTGTCGAGCCAGAGTGAAGACTTGGATGATGCCTTGCTAAACCAGACAAACATTCAAAAAAATAGATATATAGTAGTAATTGGAAGACTTCAACTACTCTCACATCTGTTGGAAGTCAAAGTCTTCCAAGAATGTAAAGTCCAAGAAACTCTTCACTGTCTTGCTGACATTTTCATTTCCCAGAAGGTGGAAAGAGTGACAGGAAATCCACTGTCTTGGACTGGATCTTCACTAACAGGGAGCAGCTGGTTAATAAGCTGAAAGCAGTGGTAGCTGTAGGTGGAAAAGATCATGATTTCTTGGTATTTGTTCTGCAAAAGAAAGGGAAAGCTGAGAGTAGAATAATGCAAATGCTGCACTTAAGAAAACTGACTGGGTAAGACTACATGGTTAGAAAGAGAGAGTTCAGGATGGATAGCAGTTTTATCTTACAGGTGGCACATTTAAGGCATAATTGCAAGTAATTCCAGGAACCAAAAACAAAACAAAATCTAAGAGCATCTAAAGAAGCCATGGTGGCAATTCATTTTTGAAGAGATTCGAAAGGGACTCATATAAGAAATGTAAGGACAGCCAAATTTCTAAGGAATTCAAGTAACCAATACTTGTAGGGAAAAGGTCAGGAAGAGTAAATCTCAAAGTTATTTCAGACT